GGAGTCAACTGACAATTTTATTCACAGCTCCAGTATTTATGTGATTCCCCATGCAAGGGGTTTCCTTAGTCACTTTACAGGGGTATTACAGTAGAGGACTACATGGGAAACTGAATATACAGAGCCTTTCTCCCACCATGCACTGCTGTACGTGAGGGATACTCCCACTAGAATATCCTGTTAAGTGGATTATCCCTCCGTACAGCAGAACCGGGTTTTAACACAAAAGTCCATAACTTTAATATTATTCGTGTGATTCCCTTAAATGACCGTTCGGTCGATAGCTGGGGTTTGAGCGCACACTTAGTGAAAGTACCGCTCAGATCCCAGCATAAATAACCTAACGCCGCACGAAACACACTTTATTTTACATTCTCATTAAAAGTAACGAATACATATTAGGGAACAAAATACCGAAGGACCGGTGCTCCCGAACGGCTTGGAAGTCCAGCGGTTTTTGCGCCGTCGAGTAGCCGATTTTAGTTCCAGGCACTCGTCGACCAAACACCGCTGGGCTAACAAAGGATCCAAGATGGCCAACCGCCGCGTGGTTGGTAGCCGAACGACTGCCACCCAGGAAAGCACTTAACTACGGATTGCTACAATGTTGCAATCGGTTAATGGGGGCCACACAACCCTCTGTGTGTGTGCTCCCATTCAGTACTTTATTCTTTCACGAAGTGTCTAAAGTCACTGTTCGAGAAACTAGCATTTGAATGCTAGCGGCTTTTGGCCGTTAGCATACGAATACTCTTTATTGCAAACACACATGAATACATCCTTACATACAATAAAAGCAGACAACCTTCTGATGTTATACAGTAAGCCTTAAAGTGGCTAGGTGTGCCACAGATAATATACTTAAAGTGCTGAGAGAAACAACTAAACCCCTCCTGTTTCACGAAAATCACATTCAAGTCTATTCAGACCTCCCGTGGTTCACTTTACAGGCTAGACATGCACTCAAACCCATAACGGAACATCTATGCAACCGCAATATGAAATATAGATGGGGGTATCCATTCGCATTAATTGTCCACCACAAGGGATCTTTACACTCGATAGCCTCACACATGAATGTCCAACCCTTCATACGAGCTTTGGATTTGCCTGAAACTACTATTATGGACTGGTATGCACCACAGCCAAACCAAGACTCCTCTATCTTACCCCAAAGACAAAGATGTTTCACAACGGCCAAGAAAAGAAGGTCTGACCATCGTCTCTTCTCCCAAAGGAGCAGATCGCTATCGGACCAAAGGAAAGACATTCGTTAAACTACCTTGCCTCCCCTCCCAATCGGATCACTAGCGAGGACCAGCAGAATAGTAAAGAACATTAAGCAAGTTCGCATGCCTTTAATTCTACAAGAGCCTCTAAAATATCTGTTCAGGTGCAACCTTGGACTTCATCACCGGGCCATCTCATCACTGTGAGACATTTAGAGACCCGAGAACTATAGGCTACCCGCACAAACCCTTTATCAGAACATTGCGCAACACAGCTGGATGACCTCCGCAGTGAGGAACAGCAAGATCAAGGGCTCATATGGACTCTCTCCTATTCGAGATAAACTTTCATTTATCGGACTTACAATCAGAGACAAAGAGTCATTGTTTGACTGGTTCAGCTGTGCGTGGTGGAAAAAGCTTTTCAGGTCATATAACCAACTATATCAAAACAGGGTCCTATACATGCCTTTAGATGAAAGTTTACTTTACTGCTCATGGCTGCCGGTGTTGTCACACATAGTAATATTTGTATGCAGATGTCTTGCTGGTGCGCAGGGGACGGGTGGTAGGGAATAATGAATAATTTGATGTACAACATGACACCCCTCCCCCCCACCTTCTTTATTCTCCCTCATCTATCCCCACCATATCACCAAATTCCTCTCCACTCCATCCCACCCTGCCCTCCTTCTCCTTCCCTATCTCTCCTTCCCTTACCCCCTCAGATCCTCCAAAATAATTAAGTTATCCACTATGGGATTGTTCACCTCGGGTTCTAGTCAATCACCACACCCGAATAGTTATTGTTCTGCCTCTTGTACGGAGACAGAATAAGAAACAACAGAAGGTAATACCTTGTGTTTAACCTGTTTCACCTTTGAAAAACCTCTAATAATGAGGGAATAAGTGTTTGAAGTGCACCTAGGTAACGTACTTAATCCTCGCTGACTTCACTCACTTGATTACTTTAAACTTAATCTTGTATATAGTTGATATAGTTTTTGTTAATCTATAACTATTTGTTTTGTATGTGACAAACAGTACCTCCAAGTCGGGGGCAAGATGACAACAATGAAAACACAGACGTTGACATCACAGACCAATCCTAACAACTTCTCCACACATACACCTAACACAGAACTTAAAACATCTTTCCGTACACTCACTGAACGCCAAGGGCCTGAATGCCCCAGAAAAGAGAAAACTCACACTCTCAGACTTTCACAGATATAACGCAGGCATAGTGTTTATTCAAGAAACATTTTCGTAAACAATCTGCCCCTTCATTGAAAAAATACCCAACAGGCTATTTTAGTCATTACACGGAAGCTAAAGCAAGGGGAGTAGCAATATTGCTAGGGAGACAAGTCCCATTTACACTTATAGAACAACGCAATGACGATGCATGTACATACATATTCATAAAGGGAAAACTAGGCAATACCATTATCACGTTAGCAAATATCTACATTCCTAACAAAAAAAACAATGTACGGCCCTGAGAAAGACATTCTATAAGCTATCCGAGTTCCAAGAAGGCCTCTTGGTCATGGGGGGGACCTAAACATCTCATTAGACTGCAAACTAGATCCCTCCGCAGCCTCCAGTGAATACCTGGAGCCTACCCGTAAACGATTTCTCGAGATCCTACACAAGGCCAGACTATATGATAGTTGGAGGGCATTACACGCCTCAGGTAGAGAATACTCTTTCTACTCCACAACATCAGGTTCTTATATCTATATGTTGCTACTACCACACAATCATCTCAATCTGATTAAGACAGCATCATATGGTCCAATGACCTGGTCAGATCATGCCCCATTGACACTGGACCTTAACTTCCCTCAGTGGAAATTAAATGATCTTCTCTTAAATAAAGAGGAGGCTATAGAGAAAATTAAAACCTGTGCAGAGAGGTACTTCAAGACAAACCTGCAACAAGATACTAGACCAGACGTGATGTGGGAGGCCCACAAATGCGTCCTTAGAGGGGAAATCATTAAAATAGCATCAGCTCAGAAAAAACAAAGAGAAGCCCAAATAAAATCCCTAACCCGAGACATACAAAAGCTATAACCAAAAAAACACAGTGGAGATAAAACAATACAAACATATAATATACTGGTAGCCAAAAGGTCAGAACTTAAAACCATACTTCAGCTACAGGCGACACGCTCTATACAGCGGACGAGACATACATACTTCACACAGGGGGGTAGCTGAGGGAAACTACTAGCACAATCCTTGCAACAACAAAGACAATCCACATTCATATCATAAATTAAATGCCCTGATGGCTCAACAACACAATTAATGCCAGAAATTATGTCGGCTTTTTATGCATATTACTCTTCCTTAGATAATATAAGGGATGCACCACCCCTGCAGATAAGATCCAGGAATTCTTATCAAGTAGAATTAACTCAACAATTCCGGGCAACTTGGCGGAATTCCTGGATAGCCCTATTATCATTGAGGAGTTCCTTGGCGTGGTCAAACAGCTTCCGACAGGAAAAAGCCCGGGGCCGGATGGATTCACGGGCAAATATTATAAAATCTTGGCTCAGGTTTTGGCAGAACCTTATGCAGGCTTTAAACCTACCAAGCCAGCTGAGACAATTATATACTTTAAATTTCACCCCACTTCTGGAAGCTATCTCCAAGGACTTGAAGGCTT